AAAATTATAACTACGTTTTCAAAATAAATCACTCAGCTTCTTTTACAAACTACTCATTTTTATGGAATGCTTTATCTTTTAATGATAGAATTATTTAAAATATTTTATTATATTTATTAGGGTAAGTTGAAGTAAGCCGGCCAAGGTATTGCGCTCCTAGCGCCACGTAGTGGGCGACGTCATTATGTAGTCAGCTGTAAGCTTCATGTGCCCTGTCCTTATATATAAATCCATGATGGGCAATAAATCATTATGGGCAAAATAATAAAGTGACACGTTAATGGGCAAAATAATTGTGTACAAATATGCCATGCAATGTCTCATTCGACATGACATGGTGAATCGAGTAAACAACGAAAACCATAAATTGAGTATTCAAAGTTTCGCTTATCAATATCCGCTACACGTATGTAGGTCCACGTGGATCTGATTGAATTGATGTTCGCAAGTCTGCATGAATCGTGATAACGCATTGTTCGTAATAAAATGGAAAAAGAGTCGACTACAACAGATACGAGAACGAGACTTAATTATGATAACAAACTCATTTTGGCGCCCATGGTGCGTATCGGAACACTTCCGATGCGTTTGCTCGCTCTGGACTATGGTGCGGACATAGTGTACACCGAAGAACTGATCGATAGAAAATTGCTTCGTTCTATTCGTCGAGAGAATGGTAAAAATGCATTTTTTTTTTTTTTGCTCAAAAACTGGAACAATTATGCAAAACCGTCACGCATTGACATTATAATAAAAGAATCTTATATCAATGACTTAAGCATAACAATTTAGTTTTTAATATACAAAATTCGATACATTTATTATGATTATTAATATAGTTAATATTATCCTAGTTAATCTTTTTTATATATTATAGTTTTCTATTTTATTTGGCTTGAATTTTGTTGAGTCGAATAAAGTAATAGTAAAGATATTTTTTAAAAAGAACCAAACTATAATTTATTTTTCTTAATTTTAATCAAATCTTTATTTTTTCAGGCTTTTATTATCTTCTAATATAATTTATCTTTAAGATTTTAGATTTATTTATTGTTATTATTTGGTTTGCAGATGTCCTAGGCACAATCGATTACATCGACAAGACCGACGGTACTGTGGTGTTTCGTACATGTCCTCGGGAACGAGAGCATGTGGTTCTTCAAATTGGTACCTCTGATCCATTGAGAGCGGCCGAAGTTGCTCGTATGGTAGAAAAAGATGTTGCTGGCATAGATATTAACATGGGGTGTCCAAAGAAATTCTCAATGCTCGGAGGAATGGGTGCCTCCCTTCTTAGTGAACCGCAGAAAGCGACCAATATTTTGCGAAAGATGATTGAAACCGTAGCAATACCAATTACATGTAAAATACGCGTTTTATCCAGTCTGAAGGAAACTCTCCAACTTTGCGACACCCTCGCTTCTACTGGTATCGCAGCCATTGCTGTACATGGTCGCACGATTGAGGAGAGACCGCAACATCCCAATCGAAATCATGTTCTCAAGCAAATTTCGGATAGGCTCTCGATACCGGTCATCGCAAATGGTGGGTCCAAAGATATTCAACAGCATTCCGACATACTCAGGTAATATTTCGACATGTTAGCGCCACGTAGTGGGCGACGTCATTATGTAGTCAGCTGTAAGCTTCATGTGCCCTGTCCTTATATATAAATCCATGATGGGCAATAAATCAATTATGGGCAAAATAATAAAGTGACAAATTAATGGGCAAAATAATTGTGTACAAATATGCCATGCAATGTCTCATTCGACATGACATGGTGAATCGAGTAAACAACGAAAACCATAAATTGAGTATTCAATATCCGCTACACGTATGTAGGTCCACGTGGATCTGATTGAATTGATGTTCGCAAGTCTGCATGAATCGTGATAACGCATTGTTCGTAATAAAATGGAAAAAGAGTCGACTACAACAGATACGAGAACGAGACTTAATTATGATAACAAACTCATTTTGGCGCCCATGGTGCGTATCGGAACACTTCCGATGCGTTTGCTCGCTCTGGACTATGGTGCGGACATAGTGTACACCGAAGAACTGATCGATAGAAAATTGCTTCGTTCTATTCGTCGAGAGAATGGTAAAAATGCATTTTTTTTTTTTTTGCTCAAAAACTGGAACAATTATGCAAAACCGTCACGCATTGACATTATAATAAAAGAATCTTATATCAATGACTTAAGCATAACAATTTAGTTTTTAATATACAAAATTCGATACATTTATTATGATTATTAATATAGTTAATATTATCCTAGTTAATCTTTTTTATATATTATAGTTTTCTATTTTATTTGGCTTGAATTTTGTTGAGTCGAATAAAGTAATAGTAAAGATATTTTTTAAAAAGAACCAAACTATAATTTATTTTTCTTAATTTTAATCAAATCTTTATTTTTTCAGGCTTTTATTATCTTCTAATATAATTTATCTTTAAGATTTTAGATTTATTTATTGTTATTATTTGGTTTGCAGATGTCCTAGGCACAATCGATTACATCGACAAGACCGACGGTACTGTGGTGTTTCGTACATGTCCTCGGGAACGAGAGCATGTGGTTCTTCAAATTGGTACCTCTGATCCATTGAGAGCGGCCGAAGTTGCTCGTATGGTAGAAAAAGATGTTGCTGGCATAGATATTAACATGGGGTGTCCAAAGAAATTCTCAATGCTCGGAGGAATGGGTGCCTCCCTTCTTAGTGAACCGCAGAAAGCGACCAATATTTTGCGAAAGATGATTGAAACCGTAGCAATACCAATTACATGTAAAATACGCGTTTTATCCAGTCTGAAGGAAACTCTCCAACTTTGCGACACCCTCGCTTCTACTGGTATCGCAGCCATTGCTGTACATGGTCGCACGATTGAGGAGAGACCGCAACATCCCAATCGAAATCATGTTCTCAAGCAAATTTCGGATAGGCTCTCGATACCGGTCATCGCAAATGGTGGGTCCAAAGATATTCAACAGCATTCCGACATACTCAGGTAATATTTCGACATGTTTATCAAATATCGATCAAACATACACACACACGCACGCATCTTTAAAAAAAAAAAAAATCTTATTTAATCTGTTTTATATAGGTTTAAAAAAGAAACAGGTTGTAGTAGTGTAATGCTTGCTCGCACAGCTGAGTGGAACTGCTCAATATTTCGTAAAGAAGGTCTGCTATCAATGGAAAATGTTATAAAATCATATTTAAAGTATGCAGTTGATTGTGACAATTCACCTTCCAATACGAAATATTGTGTACAGAATATTCTACGGGAGCTTCAGGAATCTCCTTTAGGGAGAAAGTTCCTCGATTCGCAAACGCTAGAACAAATATGGTGAGCATTTTTATTCTTTTTCTTCGCTCTCTCTATTTTTGCTCAAAAAAATTTTTTTCAGCGAAGTATGGGGATTGGGTGATTATTGCCGATCCAAAAATAAGGAATTTCGAGATAAGGGTTTGTTAGGTCGATTTCAAGTAATGCCAGTAATGCTCGAGAAAGATACAAAGGACAATAATGTTTCCCATAAAAGAAAACTTCATGAAGACAATGATGTTTCTCAGATGCGTTGTGCTTTCTTGAGGAACAATTACACAACAGACTCTGAGCTACCAAAGACTAGATTACTCAAGTGGACCAAGGAAAATCGTAAAAAAATGCCAATATATAATACTCGACAAGAAGATAAACTCTTTTGTTCCGTAGTTACTGTCGATGGCAGGAAGTATGGTTCCTCTTTCTGGCAAGTTATATTGGAGAAGACATTTTTTATTTTATTTTTTTCCTTCTATATTTCTACTTTTTTATAGTACATTTCTTCCTTTCAGGGAAAAAAATAAAAAATGGGCTGAACAAGGTGCTGCTTTGGTATGTCTCTATTTTTTGGGAGTAATCAATAAAGAAAGTCTTTCTGCTAATGGTAACATCATTTCACGATGATATCTGGACTTATCCTATCTAATGCATCTGTAAATATTTGATGCGACTATAAAGAAAAAAATGCACACATGTAAATATTGTTCTTTTTGTAAATAAATTTTGACTTTTTTTATTAAGAATTTATTATACATAAGTTTTATTAAGCGTATTATCTAATGTAGCAGGTTTAATCGCTTTGAGAGCGATAACAGTGTCTATGATCTAATTACTTTTTGAGCATGATGTAAATATAATATTGAACCATAGACGTAGGAAATATCTGGATTGAGCGTATTGCCGCGTCGATAAAGACAAAAGGGAAAGGGGATTGAAAGTTTTAGTGTAATGGCCCTCGCACACTGGACGCGATGAACGATGGGCGATATCCAGTGAGAGCTCTGCTTTTCCGGAAAAAAAAACCAAAGCTCTCATTGGATATCGCGTCCAATGTGCGAAAACCATAAAGCCCGTATCAGATTATGCATTGAGATTGAAATTTGACCAACCAGGACAAGGAAATTTTAGTTTCTTTTATCCTGATTGGTCAAATTTCAAGTTTGATTCGTAGTCTGATACGGGCTTTAAGTTTGTATCAGATTACGCATTGAAAATTGAGATTCAAGATTCAAGATTGAAATTTGACCAATAAGGATAAAGAAATTTTAGTTCCTTTTGTTCTGATTATAGCGTTTTCAAATGGACGGGTTAATTCAACCCGGATCAATTAATCACTATATTTTACTATGAATTCAAGCCTCTTATTGGCAGAGACGATGCAATGACGTCATTAATCGTTCTCAGAGCGATTAAGTGCCGGTCTACAATAGTGATTTAAGCTCTAAGCCTTAAGAAATTGACTAATCACAGTCGAGTATTCTCCTCATACTTGATCGTGATTGGTCAATTTCTTAAGGCTTAGAGCTTAAATCACTATTGTAGACCGACACTAAACATGCTACATTCGAGACAGTGGTTCATATATGAAATATAATTATAATTATATTTACATTATGGTTTTGAGGTAACTATCGATTATCGATGTCGAATCTGGTGTTCGAGTGCATGATCACGTGTATCTCTTGTTTTGGCCAAGTTTTTGTGTATTGGTCAATCTCAAGTACTTTATCTAAAAAGAAGAGACTCGTAGAAAATCTTACCATCTATTTAAATTTAAGGCAATAAGATCAGATCCTATGTTGGTCAATCAGTGCCAGTCAAAAATTTTAGAAGAAGAAGTAATTACGATATCTTGAAATAATGGGTCCGCCAAAGCGATTTAAAAAAGATAACAGTAAGTGTAATCTATGTTTCTTTACAGATTATCTTTCGTTTATTGTAAATCGAATTTTTTTTTCAACTTGCTCGACTTCTTTATATTAGATGCATATTTTGTTTCTAAATTAATATTGAATCTTATGTACATTACACACTAAAGTAATTGTACTTTACATCTCGTATACATTTATTAATAATACATTTATTAAAATAAAGGTAAATGGAAAAAGCGTAAGGACGATTACGATAAGTATAACGATGACGATTCGATAGACAGTAATGAAGCAGATGGTGTGCCTGATGCAGCAAAAACTGATATAGAAAAGCAAGATGAATGTGCGATCGAAGATGAATTTGGAGCGAAAGATTATCGTTCGCAAATGATTTTAAAACTGGATAATGCATCTCGACCACTATGGGTGGTAAGATTAAAATTTTACAAAAATTTTTAGAAATTGGTTTCATCTTGCAGAGAAATGTTTAAAGACATAAAGAAGTATTAAAAGGCGTCCTAAAAACTATGCTTTTTGCATTTTTTTTATAGGCACCAAATGGACACATCTTTTTGGAATCCTTTTCTCCTGTGTATAAACATGCTCATGATTTTTTAATAGCAATAGCAGAACCTGTATGCCGACCAGAATTTATTCACGAAGTATGTTTTAAAAAGAAAAGTGATTTTGATAGTAAATTAAATATTATTAGAAAGAGGAAGTAATATGTGTGATGCAATTTTTTTCTTTTTAGTACAAATTGACTGCGTATTCACTTTATGCTGCGGTTAGTGTAGGCCTGCAAACAGAAGATATAATAGAATATTTAAAGAGATTGAGTAAGACTAGTATTCCCGATGGTATAATTGAGTTTATAAAACTGTGTACATTATCTTATGGAAAAGTGAGTAAAAATAATTTCTATAAATTTTTTTTGTTTAACATCAAGAAACAAGCTTGATAAAATATTAAACATTTTGTACAGGTAAAACTTGTATTAAAACATAACAAATATTTTATTGAATCGCCATTTCCCGAAGTACTGCAAAAATTACTAAAAGATCCAGTTATTCAAGAATGTCGGTTGAGGAAGCCTTTAGAAGATCTAGAAGGTGATGTTGTCACAAATGTTCAAACTAAAACAAAAATCCCTCAGGTCTGTACAAGTAGATGAACTAATAATTTGAATAGTTTTTAATATGATAATAAGATGTATGCTTATTTTTTTATATTGAAATATAGTTTGGATCAAAAGCACTTGTAAATACTCCTGCATCTAGTAAGACAAATTCGGAAACTGAATCTGATCAAATATTAGCAGAATCAGCTACCATTCCAGAAGACATAACTTCTTTTTATGACAAAATAGATAAAGACGACGAAGATGAAGAAGAAGATCAAGGATTGAAAACAGTTAGTTTTGAGGTGAATCAGGTATGTATCTATATTTCAATACATTTCTTTAATTTATTTATATTATAAAGTATTTACATAAAACTGTATTTATTAAAATTGCATTGCAAAACATTTAAAACTGCATATGTTGTCATCGCGAAAAGGAAAAAATCGAAGTTGTACAAAAACGATGCATCGAACTTGAATATCCTTTATTGGCAGAATATGATTTCCGTAATGATAGTGTAAACCCAGACATAAAGTAAGTAATATTAATAAAAAGTAGTTTACCTCGTTTCTTACGTATGTTGGGTCAAAAACTAAAAATGATATTTTAACTTTTGTAATATTCCAGTATCGACTTGAAACCATCAGCTGTGTTAAGACCTTATCAAGAAAAAAGTTTGCGGAAAATGTTTGGTAATGGGCGAGCTAGATCTGGAGTAATAGTCTTACCCTGTGGTAAATGTGTTTGATAAAACTTATCCAGCCATATTATATAAATATAATGTTATCCTTATATAAAAACTGTGTCTTTGTAACAATTTTCAACCCTGTATATTAAATGTAGGTGCTGGTAAAAGTTTAGTTGGAGTGACAGCCTGCTGTACAGTACGTAAACGCGCTTTAGTCCTATGTAACTCTGGTGTGTCTGTAGAACAATGGAAACAGCAATTTAAAATGTGGTCCACTGCTGATGATTCAATGATTTGTCGATTTACTAGCGAAGCAAAGGATAAATTTATGGGTTGCGGCATATTGATAACCACCTATTCTATGATAACGCACACTCAAAAACGTTCTTGGGACGCCGAGAATACGATGCGTTGGCTCCAAGAACAAGAATGGGGCATTATGGTTTTGGATGGTAAATTTCAGTATTCATATTATTTAAAACAAAAAGTAACACTGGTTCCTACATGTAATATAATTGTGGCATTTATTTTTAGAGGTACACACTATTCCTGCAAAAATGTTCCGTAGAGTACTAACGATTGTTCAATCTCACTGTAAGTTGGGCTTAACGGCAACGCTCCTGCGGGAAGACGACAAAATTGCTGATTTAAATTTTTTAATCGGCCCGAAATTATACGAGGCGAACTGGTTAGAACTGCAAAAGAGAGGATTTATTGCAAGGGTGCAGTGTGCAGAAGTTTGGTGCCCCATGACACCAGAGTTTTATAGAGAATATCTTGGCTGCAAGATGAGTAAAAAACTGGTTAGAAGGAATTTATTGTTATTATTACATGTATACACACAACTTTTATAATTTTATACATATATTATAAATCTCTTTATAATTTCAGTTGTTGTACGTGATGAATCCAAATAAGTTTCGTTGTTGCCAATATTTAATACGATATCACGAAAGACGTGGCGATAAAACAATTGTCTTTTCTGATAATGTGTTTGCATTAAAACACTATGCCGTTAAAATGAATAAGCCGTATATTTATGGTCCAACTATTCAGGTAAGTATAGAGGTTGTAAGCATTGTGCGCAGTAACGATAACTTAAAGATCTTTTTTTTCACGATTTGTATCATTTATACTTTTAGAGCGAAAGAATACACATCTTGCAAAACTTTAAATTTAATACAAAAGTAAATACGATATTCGTGAGCAAGGTAGCAGATACTTCTTTTGATTTACCAGAAGCTAATGTCTTGATCCAAATTTCATCCCATGGCGGATCTAGAAGACAAGAAGCACAACGATTAGGACGTATTCTTAGAGCTAAAAAAGGTATATACGTTGTATATCTATCAACTATCAAGTTATCGTAACTAAAAATTTTATTCAAATTGTAGGAGCAATTGCGGAAGAGTATAACGCATTCTTTTATACGCTCGTATCGCAAGATACAATGGAAATGAATTACTCGAGAAAACGCCAACGGTTTCTCGTAAATCAAGGATATGCCTATAAAGTTATCACAAAACTCGCAGGCATGGATGAGGTAAGAATTCGATCGATAAGATGATACAAAAGTATTTACATTGTTATTTAGAGATATAATGGTGAGATATAATTTTAATTTATATATAGGAGCCGGATTTAATGTATGGGAACCGAGAAGAACAAGGTCAATTGTTGCAGCAAGTTTTAACAGCTAGTGACACAGATGCAGATGAAGAAAGAATACCTAACGATGGATCAAGAGCGGTGAGCATAATACAAACATAGAATAGATGTAATCTGATATATATGTACATGTAAAACTTTTAAAATAATTAAGTTAGGAACATATATGTAGTGACGAATATGTTTCGCATATGTGTATGGGTATGTATGTGTATTAAAATAATAAAATTTTTTTCCAGATTATACGTAAAACTGGTACTATGACATCAATGTCGGGAGCGGATGATGCTGTCTATTATGAATACAAGAAATCTGCTAGCTCATCGACGGCAAATAAACATCCTCTTTTTAAAAAATTTAGAACGTAAGAGCACTTATCCCATAACAGATTAGAAATATATAAATTGATAAAAATGTATATTTGTCACTACAACATTTAACTGTATTATTTTACATATCGCTCGTAATAAGAACATACACTATGTGTGATGAAATGATATAACACAAATGATATAAAAAGACAAATGTGTAATATCGCAAACTTATATAAGATACATATATACATTATGAAATGTATTATACCGATAGAGTGAGACAAAATATATCACTAAATCCGATGATCGCATGTAACCGATCGTCGTCGGCTTGTTATGGCTCTTTTGCTCTTTGATAATCTAAATCTAAAAATAAATTTATACTCTCTGCTCACATTGAATTATGTAACATATATGTACTAGAAGGAGAGCCAAGAGCCACGGTAGAAACGACCGATCTCAAAGAGGGTGATGCCTTCTCTGTCTTTCCAATATATATAACTTTTATTTCGCTCTCTATCTCTCGGAAACAGAAACAGCATCACTCCTTAGCAGCTATCTCTCTCTGCTCGAGGTCATTGGACAGAATCTCCACTTGCGCGCTTTCCAATATATTGTGGCCGTGTTCCGATATTCACTGCCAGTACTGAAAATCTATAGTTTACGTCACATATACTATAGATTTTCAGTACTGGCAGTGAATATCGGAACACGGCCTGAAATGCGTGGTATTACAGATGCGAACAAATCGTCTTTATATTTTTGACATGCAGCGATAAATAATATTTATCAGTCAAAAGTAGTGTTACACGATGCAGATTCGATATTCATTCTATTTCAGATATATCTCCGTCGATTTCATTTTAAATATCTATTTTATAAAAAGCGAGATAAAAAGTTTAAAACTAATCAATACATTTTTAATTGTATTTACAAAACACGATGTGGAAGCATCGATCTACCACATTAATCTACGCGATTAATTTTAATATTATATAATATTCGTATATAATAACTTATTGCTTTTTGATATTGAAATTTGTCTAATCAATAATCCCCGCATCAATAATTACAATTGGATCTTACCTTATGACTTTCCGCCTGTTGTTAGGATGCAATTGGCGCGCCATCTCCGGATCGACCTCCATCAGTCTTCGATGTAGTTCCTCGTTGCTATCATCACATAATCTCGCGTCGAATTTCAACTTCTTCATCGGTGCCGCTTCATTATCATCGTCATCGCCATTCTGTCGATCGACCCGTATGTTATATCGATCATCCGATCTGTTTACGTCACATATACTATAGATTTTCAGTACTGGCAGTGAATATCGGAACACGGCCTGTATAGTTCAATGGCTGTTTGTTATCTAGTTATATGCAAGGTGCGATTGAATCGAAGATTCGTGCACGAGGTAACCTGCACATTAGATAAATGAGTCATCTGTGACGAAATAAAATTATGATTCGTGGTATGTATGTACATGCATACATATATAGTATATACGAGGAAGGGGTAAAGAAGAAAGAGAGAGAGAGAGAGAGAGAGAGAAAGTCGACAGCGACCAGTGAGAGGACAGACGCCAGGCCGGCCAGGCGCCAGGACGCGTCATTGGATTGGCACTGCGCGCTGCGCGCGCCACGTTAAGAGACATTTCGGGTTTCGGATTTCGGGGCGGGGGCGAGGGCGAAAGGCGAGACGCAAACCGTTCCGCTTTGCCGTCAACGTCAACCGTCAAGATCCGCAAAGATCCTTTTCGCTTTTCGTCTCTCGATGTCTCGATTCGCGTGACTCGGACGGGACTCGATGAATACCGGGAGGAGAGATAATAGTACGATAATAGCGCGATTCGCCAGAGTGTCGAGATAAAAAAGTGTCAATGCCACAAACTAGCGCGGGGAAAAGTGAGAGTGTGACCGGCAAAGGTAAAGGTAAAGATAAAGATAAAGATAAAGCATCGAGTGGCTACGCGTCGTCTCGTACATCTCGTACATCTCGTACCTCTCGTACTCGGTGCAAGATCAAGCCGATCGACGATGCTCGGCTCGTATGTCGTAGACTCGGCGCTTGTTCCAAGCGCCCCGTTCGCTCGACGGAAATCTCACTTCGTGCAAGAGCGAAGCCGCCGCTTCACGGACGGATCGAGCAGTTGACGCGAATGACGCGCATGACGCGCTTGGACGGCTCGGACGGCTCGGACTCGGACGATTGTCGCGGTTCGAGGTGGAGGTTATCTAGAGGCTGCTAGAGCGAATTAGAGCGAGAGATAAAGGGCAGCGACGCGTCGGACGGCCCGGTTAAAGGTTGTGAATGCGTTTCAACAAGAGAGTACGCTGCCGCCGTCGTCGTCGTCGCCGCCGTCGTCGTCGTCGTCGTCGTCGTCGCGGTCGCAGTCGCCGTTGCAGTTGCAGCTGCCCCTGCCCCTGCCCCGAGGAAACGATAACAATGACCGATGAGTAGGTAGCGTAGCGTCGAGTCGAGTCGAGTCGAGCGCGTGCCGCAAACAGACCGATCAGCGATCAGCGCGATGATGCCCGAGTACAACGATGACGCCCGGATGTTGGGTACGTCCGCACGCGAGCAGCGAAAACGGAGCGGAGAAGAAAGATAGAAAAAGAAAAAGAAAAAGAAAAAGGAAAAGAAAAGTCGTAAGTGCCGAGTAGTAGGCGCCGGTTCGCGCGTGAGGCGTGAGGCGTGTCAGGTGCGTCGGGCGCGCCGGCACGCTACATCTGGCTAGATCGCGCGGTGCGGCCTAAAGGCCTAAAGAGGCCTTCGCTCGCCCCTTGCCCCTTTGACCTTTGCCCTTTGCCCTTTGCCCTTGCCCGTCCCTCGCCCTTTGCTTCGCTTCTGGAAAATGAACTTCATGTTATATACTCTTTACGGCTTCGCGATATTCTTTATGATATTCTGGTCAGGCATGTGGGTCGTGCACGTGCTGGCGTTGATCGCCGGCCGCTGGAAACTTCATCGGAAGATGAATCAAGCACCGAGTTACGAAACGCCGTTACCGGGGGTTTCCATCATAAAGCCCTTGATGGGAGTCGATCCGAATCTCTTCGGCAATCTCGAGACCTTCTTCACGATGGAATATCCCCGATACGAGCTTCTATTTTGCGTGGAGGACGACTCTGATCCCGTGCTGATGCTGGTGCGCAAACTCATGGAGAAATATCCAGAAACCGACGCCAGACTCTTTGTCGGTGGTTGCAACGTGGGGGTAAATCCCAAGATCAACAATATGCAGCCGGCGTACGAATCCGCCAAGTACGAGCTCGTTCTCATCAGCGATAGCGGTATACGTATGAAGGAGGACACTCTGCTGGATATGGTGAATCATATGACGGATAAAGTGGCCCTGGTCCATCAGATGCCGTTCACCTGCGATCGCGAGGGTTTCGCCGCCGCGTACGAGAAAATCTTCTTCGGTACGGTACAATCCCGGATGTACCTGGCCGCGGACTTGCTTAGGATAAACTGCCATACCGGCATGTCGGCTCTACTGAGGAAATGCATTCTCGACGATGTCGGTGGTCTGAAATCGTTCGGCATCTACCTCGCCGAAGACTTTTTCTACGCCAAGTCGTTGACCGATCGCGGCTGGCACATCACAGTCTCCTCGCAACCGGCGTTACAAAACAGCGGTCATTGCGAGGTCACGTCCTTCCAAGCGAGACTACGACGATGGGCCAAGCTGCGGGTGGCGATGCTACCCACCACCATCGTTTTCGAGCCGCTCAGCGAATGCCTCATCCTGGGCGGCTTCGCTTCATGGGCGGCTAGCGTGCTGTTTGAGTGGGATTCTCTAGTTTTCTATCTAGTGCACATACTTTTGTGGTTCATGTTCGACTGGACGCTACTATGCGTCGTGCAAAACGGTCCGTTGCCCTTCAATAAACTCGAGTTTGTGTGCGGTTGGTGGCTCAGCGAGATTACAAGACCGTATCTTTTCCTTCAGGCTGTTTTGGATCCTCTCATACAATGGCGCTCGCGCGTTTATAAGCTCAAATGGGGCGGCGTCGCTGAAGAAGTTAAGACGAAAGTCAAATATTAAAAATTCTACACTCTGTATGCGTAAATGCATGCATGCGCGCGCGCGCGCGTGTGTGTGTGTGTGTGTCAAATTAAACAGAGAAGCAGAGGCAACGCTCCCCCCTTATTAACTAATAAATTCTCGTATTAAGTATAATTCCAATCACATCGCGGCTTTTAGTTTATCTTTCTTTGAGAAAAAAAAAAAAAAACTGATGGATTTTTAATTTATAACCGATCAAGGATCGAAACAAAAACTTTTGCAAACTTGAGCTAAAAATAATTAACACAGCGCCTTTGTCTCATTTAAAACGAAATTGATTACATTTTTATTTGCGACTTAATTGCCAAAATGTATTGATAGCTTGAATGTAGAAATTCAATGGGTTCCGAACAAATAAAATTGTCATAATATAATATATGCGAAATAATTCGGATGCCTCGCTTACGCATACGTTAATATGATTATTGTTATACGCGTTTCAGAACTCATCGCGCGAATCGATCCAGCGGGTCCAACTTTACGAGAGGGGAATTGGTTCTTCTTTTCATATATAATACAAAATGTCAAGAAATATATGTCAGACAAATCGCGTATAGATTCTGTCTCATTATTAAATTTTGTCAAAGATGATGTGTAAATTCAAAAGTATATTCTAGAAAAAAGATGGCACAAGTTATATTAAATGTAAGTTATTACATTAAATGTAAAAAAATAGAGTCGAAAACTTTATTTGCGCAAGGAGACACAAAGTTAGCCGAATCGATTTGTACGCGTATTATTTCCATCGAATCACGGTATGCTCAACTCAAATACGGTATGCAATGTGTGGTTCTTTTTCGTTGTAAAGATATTTATTTGTAATATAGTTTTTATAGATACGTAAAAAAAAGTATACGTAAACTAGTATACTATACGTAACTAGTCGCGATTTTTAAATGTACAGGGGCCATATCCTTGAAAAATATCGCATACGATATTTGTCATTGCGCAGTTATTTTCCGATACGTTTTAGCAGCGCAATGACAAATATCGTATGCGATATTTTTCAAGAATATGGCCCCTGGTCGGCGATATCGTTCCTTTTTCGCGACGATATCGCACGGCATTTGTCTTTCCACATGCGTTGCATTCTGTATTAATTCAAATGTATCGAGATTGGTGCGCGCGAATATATATATATATTATAGTTAAAAATATTAGAAAGATAAATAAATATCGCCAGATACGAAGTCTGGAGGAGCGTGGTTTTTCGAAGGTTTTTAACAATTGGGAATAGCAAATCGAGGATAAATATTCTCGCACACACAACCCGGCTGTATAAACTTAAATTTGAATTTATTGTGTGAATGTGTTCCGTGTACGTATGTATGATGTATGTATGTATGGATGTGTGTAAATATATATAAGACTAATGTATACATAGACACATGTATTTTTGTCGCGCATCTATTTATTTCTCACGTTTCTGCAGTCTTGCAAAATGCAAAATTATTAGTGACCTAGAAACTTGGTAAAGTCTCTCGCGTGAAGTATATATGTATACGATAATAAGGTTACGTAATACATTCGTTACTGCTGATTTATTAAAACTGTACTCACGCTGTACTTAACGTTAGATACACATATATTTGTATATAGTAAAACATCAATTATCTGGGCACCGATAATCCAAATATTGATTCCTTCGACGATCGACGCTCGCGTACGTCGCGTTCGTACGCGTATGTATATGTGTGTAAACAGAAATTCTTTTAATTTACATTAAAATCGTTGATACGATTTTTTTTTTATAACGTTTACACCTTTACACGTTTGCATTGCTTTGTTTAATACAACATTTTTCTTTCTTCCTTCTCTTCTTTTTTATTTGGAAAATTTTTATTTGGTTTGCGGATAATCTCGATAACAGATCTTTTTTCATCATTGTCTCTCTCAGCTTATCCCGATAATCGATGTTTTTTTTTTTTTTTATACTTTTGTCGCAATTATTTGGTTTGTGGAAACGAGCCTTCCATAGTGCGCTTGCAACATTCGCTTGAAACTCGAACGCACACTTAGAACGATATATAAGGCCCCGATTTAATCTCCCGAATTTATAAACGAGTAACTATTATTGGAATCCCGTAAACGTTAGGCTCTCTCTGTACACGTTATTACGAAACTTTCAAATAAAGCAGAAGCAATAAGTATTACATTAACGATGAGTATCATTTGATTCTATCATTGACATTTTATCTATTTTATCAAATCGATGATTATATACTCATTATATGAAAGATAATATATTATTATTTCAAATATGCGATACGTTATTCCTTTTCGCTTCAACGAAGTCAAAGATTGTTCCAGATTTATAAACACTCCAAATAGAACGATTACGCCAATTTAAATATTTTTTTTTTCCTATCTTTTCGGTATATTCAAGGGTGTCTGTACGGGATGGTACTATCCAGTTAATATGACTATCGAGTTAATGAATATTAACTATCGAGTTTCATATATTCGTATATATAATTGGTAGTTTGTAGACTCTTCAATGATTCTCCGAGTCATTATATCAAATTATATTAAGTGGAAAATATTGTTTTTCACGACGACACAATCGGAATACAAATTTTCTCATAAAAAATACGTTCCGCGAGAGTTGTTAAAAAAACAATAAAAATTTATCAACACACGTACAATTGATGTATAATTTTGCGATACAAGTTTGGCAAATCAGTGCGCGTGTGTATGTTTTGTGTGTGTATATGAAAATTTCTGATCATCTCGCGTACAAATTTATTTTAATCGAGATTATTTATCTCAAAAGATGTAAAATTCGTGAAAGATATAAATAAAAGGTTTCGTTTTATTATTTCGCTTCTTTTTCTTATTAGATAAAAGGAAAGCACGCGAATTGATATATCCATGGTGTACTTATGATACATTCGTATCGGGACTATTCTAAAACATTAACGCACGAATGTAGTTGATAGGATAAGCTGACTGTTTATCATGCCAGCTATACAATTGCAAGCTAGAGGTGAATCAGCGAAGCGATATCGCAGATAAATCATTGAGTCATTACGACTTCCCGGTTTACTCGCAAATCATTGAGTCATTACGATCTCTCCATTTTGATCTGTAATCAATAGCTTTTTTTAGCGATATTTCCTCTCCTTTTTTCAATCGATTGAAAAATTTTCCGTTATGTTAAAGAACAATGTGTTTGTCTCGACGTGCGCGTAAACAGCATAGAAATGACTGCATTTCATAAATATTGAAAAACGCTGACGAAGCGCGTTTTCCTTATAAATAAGGAAAACGCGCTTCGTCAGCGTTTTTAGCACGTATTCAGAAATGTAAATCGTTATGCGAGAGACATATTTTTCCGCGACGATTTGAAGCGCATCCGAAATAACTCTGTCAAAATACGATAAAGCAACAAATTTTTGCATCATTTTCGACTTTTGAACGTATGTCGTATACATCATACAATACGCGGTAATGTGGACAATAGCAGAGAAATAATTTATAATTTGCTCGTTATTACACATAATTACATGTAATCCGTTTTGAAATATCATACAAACGTATATCTATCGCGCGATGCAGATGTAACAAACACGCATGTCTGTGCAAGGACGCGCGTATGCATTTGCCTCACGTATTTTATATCGTGCGACTACATGTCTCGTATTTTAAAGGTGTGGCAAGCACGACCATCGTAAATCTCATCTAATTTACATTGATAAATATATGTTCAACTTGATATCGTGGACCTCGATGTAGGTCCTATATAAAGAGGAAACGCGCGGCCTCAATCAAGAAATTTATATTTCCGATATTGATTTAGAGAAAAAATAGGCTTATCTGTCTTGAGATAAATTATCGAACATTACTACATCGATTGGCACGTAAGTCGAATGATACGAATTGAAGCAAATATCTGTGGCCAGAGCGCCCGAGTATAATGCGTGTATCTTCTGTGCTTACGCAAGACTCTTCTCTCTCTTTCTTCGGAAAAACTTTACAGAGTTGAAAACGGTACTCTTTCTAGCGATAAAGATATTTATCAAGTTTGTTTAACTTCATATATCGTTTGTTTTCAAACATTTTTATCTTACAATGAGCTCTTGTATAAATACGATTTTTTTCTTTTTAATTCTATATACTATTTGTAAGCATTTACATACACACACTCTCTCTCTCTCTCTCTCTCTCTCTCTCTCTTTCTCTCTCTCTCTCTTTGTTATCCAAATTCGGGATGCAGTAGTATATAAGCAAAACATACTATAATATCCGTGCGAGTAAAATCTCTGTAGAAAATTTGGTGGAATTCAATATATATGAATCACATAATTATATTTGTTTCACACAAGAAATATGCACATATATATTCTCTTGACATTTCGAGAGATCTTACATCCTTCAAATTTTAAAATGACATGGTGTGATATATCAAGATTTATTACAAAAATATCACGCGGTATTCCTTAAAATCTTAACTCGTAAGACATCTTTCAATTGATCGAGATAAACTCGATAATTAATTTATCTAAAATTTGCAATTCGTCATTATCCACGCTCGTCTGGATCCAATCCGTATCCAAAACAGTTTACTACTCCATCATATATTTGTTTCGCTGCTTAAGCGGATTATTATTGTTTTTTCTCTTCATCACTGTGTAGTATTATTGTCACATATTATTCCCCCGGTGATATTATAATAATGCGGGAACACCATGTATATAAAATTTAATCTGAAAAAGATATTTATCCGCATTATAAATGGATTATATTTATCATTTCTTACTTTTGGAACCAAAAGACATAATGTCGTTAATTGTAGTTGTCGCGTACGTGACTTAAATACGCGTTAGTAATAAACCGAGGAATGACACATTAGTATAAACTAATTTCTGACAATAAGTCATGCATTGTCAGAAATGCACATTTTTTTTCTAAGTTTAGTAAGTTTTATAACTTTCAGTAACTGAACTATGAAAACGCATTAAAGAACATAAATTTCGAGTCAAACCTCTTTCAAAGTTGGTTTTATAAAACTTTTCATATATGAGCACAAAATATATTATAATTATTGCACCGTAATGTATGTATATACATATATATCTATATATATATATAGATTTGCAAAAATAGTAATGAAAGAGAGAGAAAGAAAGCGAGAGAGAATAATGATTGCGTGTTTGTGAAAGAGAAGCAAGGACAGGAAGAATGTGTATTTTTTATTGTCATCGCCAACAATAATCCACTGGCTTTAAAAACATTTACTTATATCTTGCATGCGATATTTTTCTTTCCATTCGTCCACAAATTTATCTTATGAACAAATTTAGTTTTAAAATTCAAGATCTTTTTTTCAACTTTCCGAACATAAGTTTGCAATGCGGATGTATGATAAATAAAAATAGAATCGCAGAAAATGTCAACGATAATTTATCACGATATATATTTCTTTACATCCTTTCATATTTAATTCGTAGTTTTTATATAAAAACTTTTTTTTTCGAATCAATCATAGCTACGAGCAACATCGAAAAAAGACTACCATCCGCACGTGTTGAAGAAACACGATTTTTTAAAATGAAATGTTATGTGTAACAAGCGAACGATGTATGCCTTGTCAAACTACCATTTTTTTTAAGAAGTAAAATATTAAATCGCTATAGTAAATACAGTGATGCCAATGTATCAAATTTATTCTAATATTAAGATAGAATTTGCATTTTTATTTAACATATTACCGTGTGGCTGTGAAATGATTATCTCATAGAGAGAGAGAAAAAACTTGAAGGTTAATAAATTATTTATCTTTGCTCCTTCCCCACAATTCAATAAAATATGGCTAAGCAACAGATGGTCGTATCGAAATATAATAATAGCGATCAAAAATGTACGACTTTAAACATTAATATAAATTACCTTCCTGTCGATTTTTAATTTCTTGGATCGACCATTTTATATTATTCTTTTCAAAATATCTAAAAAATTATAGGTGTGAAAAGATGATACATCCATTCGAGAACTCGAATACAGAAGATACCAGTAATGACCTTGGTCATCCGTGTCTCTTGATTGCCGAATCTATCGATAAAATAAAACTAGTTGAACATATAAACATTCTTAAAAACTGAATGGTTAAGTTTGTAAGAAATTTGATTATGGGTGTTTGATTATTTATGAGTACCATGAGATAAAAAAAAATTATGCTACTCTTTTCCATACTGTTGTTTTTTCTTCTCTGTATCCTCCCCCTGTATATGAAATACATATTTATTATCACATACAATTTAATTTGCATTGCATTTATTGCAGATGCATTTTTCAAAGCATCTTTGCATCAAGTACATTTATAATAGCGCGTTTTACAGTGAGCCATTTGATTGAAAGGAATGTGTTATCCTTAAAGAACATATATACTAATGGAAAGAGCACGACCGCATCGCATAAAAAGTGTGTGGCTTGCAGTATATACTCGTACCATCCATATGCAATGCTACATTATGAAACCTTATCCTATTCTATGTTAGATTGTATTATACTATACTGTGCTACGCTGCATTCCATTGTGTTATATTATGTGTCTCATACAGACGTAATATACATAAAGAATAATACGATGGAATTAGAAAGGAAGAAGCACGAATTTTGCATTCATTAAACGACCATAACAGATATATTCCACGATATCGTTAAAGACATATTTTGAAAAGCAATTGAAATGAATTATAATTAGAAAGAGCTCTAGGATTATATCGATTGTTTTATACTCGTAATATTTGATTGTGTGGTAGCTATACTTTGAATTTTGGGATACGATAACGAGAACGTATACTTTGAACCGACTAGTCAAGGGTAAAAATACCGCAATACGACGCGGCGTGGTGCAATTCATCTATTACGAAGGAATGATCAGACAAAATGCAGTAGACATGTTATTCGATGTGTATTTTTTTTTATAGCATCAAGCAGCGAAATCAGAGCCGTTTCTCGCAAATCATATAATAGTTTTGTTTGTTATTGTTGTTTGAGTGTAATCGAACTCTCTTGGCTCTTCCTTATCGCGCTATCGATTATTCATAATTTTATGACAAGTGTGTATTTATTCTTGTATAATTATAGAAAATTAACGATTGAGTCATTTTATGTAGCTTTGACATATTATCTCGGTCGTCTGAACTCTTAATTGAAAAATTTACGACGTCATACATCTTGATGCGTCTCGAGTTGTTGATGGTTTGCGTAGGCCTCATTGTTTCTCGTATAATGTGACTATATAAATTTAAAGCCTTCAATGCATAGCTTATTGTTAGCATATGTACGCGCGCGCGAAAGAGAGAGAGAGAGAGAGAGAGAAGAGGAAAAAGAAGAGAATTGAATAAAAGTGATTATACGGAATCAATTTATACATTCCGAGTTTCTCATAAATACATCATTATCATTTTTTTAATTCAAAATGCCAAGAAGAGATAATGAAATTGCAAATTTTGTTGAGAGTTTATTTAAAATATGTATTTAAATATTAAAATATATATTTGTTTTGCTTAAACAATTATCTCGTCCTAATCAAAACGAAAAAGACATATTTGCGACGTGCTTCTCAAAAAATATTTTTCTTCTACCATTTACCATTTTTACAATTGTGAAAATTTATTCGGAATGTAGATTTATGTGTGTATAGAATAATATTAAATTTTTGTAACGCGATCGAAAACTTTTGCGTAATAAGTCATTTACCATGTGTCGCTACTCGTATAACGGAAACAGGTTATATCATCTGATTTGCCCGGTAGAAACACTTTTACATAGAGGACACCACTGTCCGTGATTCAATTCAACGGGCGAAATAAAATAACTGAACGGAATGAAAAGAAAATTGACTACCCAGTAAGCAATTTGATAACAAATTGTTGCCAAATTGGCATCAAATTCGCTCAAAACTTGGTAACAAATTCAGTGCCATCTGTGTCCGCATTAAGCTTGTGTTTTGGTGACAAAGCTTGCTAACATAACCTGACAGCAAATTGACGGCAAAAAACGAGCAAAGCTTGACATGATTTGACGTCAAATTGGTGGCAAAAATCGAGCAAGATCTGCGCAAGACAATCTGACAGCAGATTGTCAGCAAAAACCGAACAAATTCTGCAGCTTATGGCCATTCATATAAAATAGTATATTTAAATGGATTTAAAGTCTCAACCATAAGTAACAAAATGATGATTTTTGCTGACAATAATTTGTAGCAAGCACTTGGCAATATCTGTTGGAACATATATGGCTGACTGGGTATATATTTTACGTTGATGCGGTATTATTTTGAATTAAATATATGAATTGATTGCAATAAAAAGTGGCATATTATTAGTGTTCATCCTCTACGATCTTATCGTGCGTTTGTTATTCTAGTATTACTAAGCATATATCCAACTATATAAAATTTTGAGCCCGAAATGATTTATCTGGTGTTATTTAATATAACTTCTTTCAAACGTAATTTTTCTTATAGATAAATATCTCGGCTTACGCTATGTTGAGAAATTTTTGATTTTTAACTTCTTTTTATTACGTCAACGTTGTTCAATAATCATAATTTCATAAAATATAAACCATAAATTGTAACATAAAATAAGAATACATGTATGATATATTTTGTATGATTGTATTAAATTGTCTCTCTTGATATCTTAATTGTTTAGAAAAAAAAAAAAAAAAAAAAAAAAAATGTTAATCCCTTACCGCGTTTCCTCCATTAAAATATCCATACATTTTCGCATGATATTATTGCGAAATAAATTAGTTGAAGCATATCGAATCTCGTATAGCGATGATTTCAGTCGTTCCAAAGGTCGCTCGATAATGCCTGCATTAAATATTACTCATTGCGTTAAGCTAAACGTTAAGAGGACCACGTATACGGCCACGTACGTACTTGTCTTTATCGTTGGCTTTCGTCGACACGAGTGTCGTGTAACCTCTCGTTCTCGTACGATTCTTCCCTCAGGATCATCATAGTCTATAATTTCAGTGTCAGAGTGCTAGCATTTTCTATCATGTCGCTGGACGAAGTAAGGATTAGATTAATTTATTCAATTGATGAAAAATTCCATTATATTATAGGCAGAAAAAATATATCGCGCGAAATCGTCCTCGGACCATTAGTTTATTATTAGTGAGTGAAGTTTGACTAGAGTGAAATGTGAAACTAGTGACATTTGTGCCAATTACAAACTTTTTTTTAAATATTTACACATATTTACAATAGATGTTAACTATTGCATGTAAAATTTGATTATTTTCAAAATTATTTCAGAAAGACAACGTACTAATGCAGCGCAGCAAAAAAAAAAATATGCTTTCCTTTTATAAAAATAACTTATTAAATTTGCTTGTTTCTTCTCCCTCTCTAATGATAAATCTAAGACAGAAAGAGGGAAAAATTCACTAGGCTAGAATCGACAGATAGGTTAGGTAAACTATCAGATTGATAGTTTATGATAGCCTGATAGATAAATCAATCATTAATTATATAGCGATTAGATCACAATTTTATGATATAAAGAAAGAGGAAAAAAAACTGTCTATATTTTAATAATCAAACCGCATTGTTGGTACATGCAGCTATTTCTGACCTGACAAATCTAAATTGCGTACTTATTATTTTGATTGAATAATGCTACTATTCACCAGATAAAAAAAAAAAAAAAAAAGTACGAACTAGAGAGAAAATGTTTTATA